AGGTTGAGTTACTGAAACAAATGCAAACAATTAGAACATATATTTTCGTTACTTGGCCAACAGATTTCAGTATAGAGCTTCAGCTAAGATTACGGTCAACTTCCATCTAATCTCAGGGCCTCTAGAAATTTCCGACATTTATAGTGCCTGCCTTGGGCGTCGGTGTGTGTTGTAAGTAGTAAGTGAACAACGGCTGCGCAAGTACGGTCCTGTGAATAAATCCTTTTCACTCCGTGAAAGATAAAATACTCGAGCGAGTTGCTTAACATCAAAAATTCCATTTTGACACAGTGTTACAATCTCCGTAATTTTCATGATTTTTACGATTTTCACCGGAAGCAGCGCGGGTCAATCTGAACGTGACTCTCTCTCACGAAATAACAAAATAGAATAGTAAAGGCTCAACAAACATGATATTTAAACTTCATTTTAATGTTTTAGTGCTTATAACAATGTTTTCATGATATAATGTACTGACATTTCTAATTACACAAAGGATGTATGTCTGCTTGCTGCTCTCCAAGATTGCTTCAAAGAAGATTTATTGTCTTGTCATGTTGACCTTTCACATCTGTTTCTTCATAAACCCATGTCTTCAAATGTTCTTCCAAATCTATCTTGCTGTTTTCGAACTCTTACCACCTTGGCCTAGTCTATATTTCATGTTTTGTACGTTTATTATAGTATAAATCAAACTACATCCAGTCATGTCGTAACAAGTTATTTTTGCATTGAATGCATTAGGTATTGTATATTGAAATTGCGATGTAGCCTGTCTCCTAATTCACTGTAGCTGTTTTCCTTGTACAGTGTTGCCTTATGTTAGTTGTATTTTATTTTTTCTGGAATCTCATTAGCTTGATCTTCTCCCACTAAGACGATCGTATACATAAATATCACGCATATGTAAGATGTCTGCTAAGCTAATCTCATAATTCGTGATATTTTTCTAAAAGTATTTTCTGTCTGTGTGGCGCAAACTGTAATTGAGCATTCATTTTGATAACAAAGACGAGCGTTATTCTTACGTGGATTTTGTGGGCGTCGTAGGAACAACAATACTAGAAATATCTCTGTCGTCTTTTTCATGGATATTTCTTGTTTTGTTTCCTGGCAACAAAGGCGTGACGAGCAGGTTGACGTAGGCAAGTCTATATGTTCAACGGCTCCGCGTATTCCTGCAAACTGCAAGCGCTTCGAAATCTTCTGTTAGCCTTGCGTCGAGCTGCCGACCGAGGGCGGAAGGACTGGAAACCTGTATTTAATGGAGGCGGTTTTTGTTCTTGACGTACCCGCCACGGAGTCTCTAGAAAGGAAAAGCAAACGCAGACACTTCTTCGACGGACGGGTGTGCGTCTCCGAGGCAATGACCTTGGTGTTCTCTGTGTGTTACTTTTCCTACTTGGATTGCTTCTGGTTTCTTTTCTCCTTGCGTATCCTGATTTCTGGGTAGTTTGGCACGCTTCGCAAGAAGTGGTAACGAGCTTAAAGTGTATCATTAGAATTTCCTTTCCCTTTTCATTAATATTTATAGACGTGTGTAGTGATGATAGAGATGAATTATAATACAAAGACGCAAGTGTACGTCACATTTGAAAGAAACCTGTAGTAATTACTTGTGCAAATAGAGTGCGCGAAAATCGTTGGAGATAGCTCGAAGGTCGCGAGTAATCCGCACGGCTCGGTTTAACTAGCATTTCAGGAATTAGATCCCAGTTAGCAGCAACTGTTAATCTCCGGGAGCAGCGCGCGTCCCCCAATTTCACGCTCTCCTTGCTGTGATTGCGAAGAGCGCGCTCCCCGCCAAGAGGCATAAAACGCGCCCAGATTCGAGGCGCAGTCCCGGGAACGCACTACGCCCACTAATGTGTGGAAATTGATACCAATTACAGTCCAATAACGGTCGATCAGGTTCGAATTTATACGCAAATTCGGCGACGAGGCCGGACGCTGGAGTGGCGCATCGCGCGTCGCCCCGCCCCGCGCCGCAACGGGTCAGTGTATTACGCGTCCTGCCGCCGCCGCGCCGGGATATGGGTCGTTCCATGACAGGGGGAAGAGCGACGCGTCGCGACGGGAGGCGACGCGGTCAGTGCGTTGCGGGCGAGAGAGCGGGCGGGCGTGAGGGTTGACGGGCGCGAGTAAACGGGAGGCGTGATAGACGGACTTTACAGGGAGGAGTGCGAAAAGGCGGGCGAGTGGGTGGCAGGCGGGCGCGCGGCCGAGCTGGCGGGTGGACGAGCGAGC